TGCTGAGATGGCTTCTTCCATGTTGGTCCCTTGTGGGTTTTATTGCCGATCGTCCTGTCAGTAATAACTGGGCGTCAATTTTGACCGGTCAAAGCTGTTGACATCTGGGTCCAGAAGATGCTGATGTGGCTTCTTACATGTCGGACCAAACGGTGCTGATGTGGCTTCTTACATGTCGGACCAAACGGTGCTCACGTGCCTGCTTACATGAGGGTCCGGACGGGGCTGATGTGGCTGCTTACAAGTGGGGACAAGAACGTGGTGGCGGTCACAACTTCAGTCACAAGTACCGTCATAGGTTTTATTATAGCGTAAAATATGTGCACGTTTGATTTCGCAGGCCAATATGAATTTGAATTAGAGAAAATTTGAAATTTAACATTGCCATCACAACTTTTATTATAATAACAATGGGACTTGACATCTCTCACGGTAGTGATCCACATATTAAAATGAGCATCCAAATGACATATTATCAAGCATTCAAATAAGACACTGGAGACGACATCATGACAAACAGTAGTGCACCATCAGTTTTTTATGGGTTGTGACACCGTTTTCAAAATTTTACTCCGGTTTTGAAAAATGTTTGAAACTTTAAAAAATTTCTCATGTTCTACAATTTGCTAAATATTTAAAAAATGCTCCCATTTTTTTTAAAATATGTTTGTTTTTTCCAAAATTGTTTGACATGTTTAAAAATACATATTTTATGATATGTTCCATATTTGAAAAATATTCTTATTTTTGTGAAATTTTCACAAATTCAAAATAATGTTTGCATCTAAAAAACATATTCTAGATTAGCTTGATTGTTGAAAATATGTTCCTATTTTCAAAATTTGTTCACAAATTCAAAAAAATGTTTTGTGTTTTTATAAATGGTTCGTGTTTTGAAAATAAATGTTTATGAATTTCAAAAACCATGGCTGGTTCTAATTTTGTTCACGTTTTCCCAAAAATATAAGGATATTTCAGAAACAATTGTTCATATTTTTCGAAACTGTTCGGGATTTTAAGAAAATCACATTTTCAAGAATATTCGGTAATTCATATTTTTCTGAAAGTTGAAAAAAATTAATAATAAAAAAACTGTTTCGTATCTGATGTCATAGTATTTTATTAAGTATTCGTGCTGGCCATTGATTAGCAACACGCGTTTGTTCTATGTTGATTGGCTATAAATGAAAGAAATTATGAACACATGCCAATAAAAGAAAATATGTTGTGTGAGTCTAACTAGAAAAATAACTGTGAGCACATAAGAGCTAAAATAATCAAAGAGAATAAACCTTGATAGAGAAGGGACATTTATTGAGTATGCTAATAAAATGGGATTTATGCGTTGCAATTAGTAATCCATCCAGTTACGCCGTTGTAGGAGAGAGTGGTCAAAGCAATCGTGTCGAAGGTCGTTGTGCAGCCACCAGATGAGGAGGCAGCCACAACCCCGAGATGGACGGGGACCTAGAGAAAAAAAAAGACACGAGTTGGGTGCTCGCCGCCACGCCGACCAACCCACCACTATCAAGATTTCGCATGTCAAACATGACCCGTGAGAAGACCACAACTCCTTGCTTTGTCGCCCATCGTTTTAGAGACCGTTTTTGGTAGATACATCAATTATTTTTTCCATTGCTTCACGCAAAAAAATCTCTCCCATTGCAATGCGCATGCATATGTGCTAGTAACATTTTATGCATGCGAGTGTCAATTTTTTTATCCTACCATGTAGCTAGACCTTCTATCTATGCCATCCAACTTTGCATCAAGATCTGTGCTATCTTTACATAGACATTTCTCTTTTTTGTTTCTTCTAAACAAGAGAACATTTGACCTTGAAAATTTGCAGGTCAATGCCACACAGGTACCATTCTATGAATAACATGATTTTGATTTTTTGATGCAACATAAATTTGTCAAATTACAAATCTCAAATGAGTTTTATCATTTTATATATTTCTATTTCAGCCAAAAAAATCCGAAAAAATACTACACATGGCAGTATTTATGTCATGTAAAGTTTCAAGTTCAAATCCGATGTTTTCTTATTTTGGACAGACAAGTTCAAATCTGATATTTTCTTATTTGGGATAAACAAAGAAGAGAAGTTTGCACACATGAATTTTGATGCAAGAATGGATGATCTAGATAAGAGGTGTAGCTACATGGCCACACACCCACAACTTTCTCTATGCATTTGGATATGTGTATATAACCATTGTGGCAGTATTCTTCTATAGAGAATGACAAGTGAAACTTACTCTTTGTTTGCCATGAAGTTGTCCCTCTAGTGCATCAGAGTTGTGTAATGATTGGGCCCAATATTCTCAACATGCTCTATGCTACACCCAGTGCGCGACAAGAGAAGGGAAGGGTTTAATGGAGATCCATCAATGACCATGATGTAACCAATGAAGCTTCGTTGGTTGATGCAAAACGTACCTAAACCTCGATGATGTGGTCATGGCAGGCATTACACGGGACAAAGAAGGAAGGCTACCGCCATGGAATATGTCCAGGCTGCTGAATTGTTACTATATGTCATAGGAGTTTTTTCAGTGATTTATACAGGATCAATCAAGTGACGGTGAGATCCGGGTTAAGATGACCAAATTAGCGTCACGTGGGTCCACGACGAACGCGATGATGGCCTGCTGGCTGGATGGTCTAGTTGTCTGTTGTTTCTTCAGTACAATCAAATTATAAGTTCAGTTTGCTTTGTTCTGGATGGAAGAAATTAACTTGGGTTTAAGGTTCTGTACTAACTAACTAGTACTCCCTTTGTAAACACTCCCTCCGTTCCATAATGTAGTGCATATAGAATTTTTTAAAGTCAAACTTGTAAAACTTTGACCAAGTTTATGTAGAAAACTACCTATATCTACAATACGAAACATATACAATATGAAAGTTTAACTCAAGATCTATCCGATGATATGTATTTGGTATTCTAAATGAATATACTTTTCTCTCTAAACATGGTCAAAGTTAGCAAAGTTTGGCTTCTGAAAAAATCTATATGCACTACATTCTAAAATGGAGGGAGTAATATAAGACCGTTTAGATTACTAAAGTAGTGATCTAAATAGTCTTATATTAGTTTAACCCACTCAAACTGTAATCAGTGCGTACTATGGAGTATGGGGGAATAGAAAAGTTGCATGTTACTAGTGTGTTGTACTCCGATTATAATGAAATGTTATTCAAGTTCTGAAGCTATGTGTTCAGGAAGGAAGCAACTTAGGTTAGTAGGTTTGATGTTCTGAAGCTGCCGCTAACTAAAACAGAGCAAGAGAATACAAGATATTTTGTAGGGTAGCAACGAATTCCATCTCGATCATCAGTGTACAGAATCAGGTGCTGCTTGCAGGAAGGTGGTGAACATGTGCGTGACAGATAGATGGATAGATAGGTGCCTTGCACGAACCATACGCATGGCATCTTCTTTTTGTGTTGATGATTTGCCATAACCCATATTCTTTCTGTCGTGGCAGCATGAAACTTAATTGGCTCAAAGAAAAAGGCAAAATAGCCCAGCATAGATGGATATATAGGTCATGTACTAAATAATCCCCACTTCCACCAGCTAGCTAGTTGCTCTAGAGCAAAGCACCAAGGAAGAAGATCCATCTCTCCAATTGATTCGTTCTAGGTGCTTGCTTAATTTCATGAGCAAACTACTCTACCTTTGATGCTTCTTATGCCTATTCTTCTCCTCTAGAACACATGACCTCCTCGATTTTAGTTCAGGGCAACCCTCTGCCTTCTTGTTTGAAAGCAACCTTTTATTTCTTTATAGGGTTTGCCAGTATCTAGTGAGTGTGAATTGATTAGTATAAAGAGGAGCAAATTTATTTTACGTGCATGTTTTCAGGTGCAGCTCGAACCAGCAAACCATGCAACCCATGGAGGGGGTTCTGGTTGCTTTGGCATCCTACGGCGCCACCATGCTCGCGCAGATGGCCAAAGATAAGGTGGCCATGCTGACCAGGGTCTCCGGCGAGATCGACGACATTGGCGTCAAGCTCAGGGACCTCAAAAACTTCCTTGCCGATGCTAATAGGAGGAACATCACTGACGAGAGCATGCGGCGGTGGGTGGAGGAACTGAAGCGTGCCATGTACGACGATGCCATTGACATCCTCGATCGATGTCGGCTCAAGGTCACAGAGTAGGATCCATCCAAAGGCATGCTCCTCTGCACGAGGAATCCCCTCGACACATCACCAAATTTATAGGAAGTGAATCGCTCTTTGTTAGGCGATGTAATAATGTAGGGACTTCGTAATGTGGATCCTATTCGTGCAGCGCGCAAGTGTAACTAACTTGGAAGTGCGAACTCGAAAAAATAACTCCTCCCTCTATTTATGTAAGGAATAAAAACCGTGATGCAGAAATATACATACAATTTAGTATTTGGACGCACGGTTTAAGAGATAAACCGTTTTGAAAAACAAAATGTAGAAAAAAGCTTCTAGTTTGCGACGAGTGGCACTCAGTATGAGAGAAGGTGTGAAGTAAAGTTTGTAAGGGGTATTCTTTAATTAGTGATTTCGGCACTTCTGGCCTTAGCACACGCACAACCAACTCGGCTAGCAGCCCACCATTGCGTCCACGTCCTTCTGGACCTCTGCCTAGCTCGGGAGTGCCTAAGGGCTAGTTTGGTTGCTTTCCTGGGTTGCATGCCTGGGCAGAGGTGCTGCCTGGAGTGCGCCTGGGATTTCGAAAAATTTGGCCTGGGCAGGCAGCCTGGTCTGCAGTTCGTTTGGATCATAGCCTGGTCTGAAAGGTGGTCAAGGTAATAAAATATATGTAAAAACCGATGCATCAGCATATAACTTGTCTGCACATCACTTTATTAGAGCCAGGCAGCTCCAGGCCACAGTCCAGACGACTGAAAAAGGACGCCTGGCAGGCTAACTATCTGCCTGAGTATGCCAGGCCAGGCTAGCGCTACATTTTTCTGGACTCCAACCAAACAACCACCAGGCGGATCCCAGGAACCCTTCAGGCTAGGCATCACACAGCGTGGACGTGATCCAAACTAGCCCTAAGTTTTTAGCGAGACTGAAGAAGGTCTCGTTGAAGAAGCCCCCTCCCAGCCGCAAGTAATGGGCCTGCCCAACTTTTTGGTTAGTCTTTTTATATGTTTCTTCACTCTTTTGTTTTTCTTGTTTGACTCTTGTTTATATTTCAATTAATTAACTTCAAAAAAATCAAAATTAATAATTTGGAAATTTTCACTCTGGGTATTTTTCTGGTTAGAGTAACTCTAAAAAAATGTTAATAAAGTTATGCTAACAAAAAGATTATGGGACCGATTGACCGAATCGATCTGTAAGCAGCCGCTGCCGGGCGTGGCTATACCTTGCTTCAGGCGAGTTGGATGCGAGCCTCGCCTGAAGGAGAGTCATACTGCACCGGCCCAGCTCGCGTGAGGCCACAACCTCGTTTTTCCAGTATATTTCGTGTTATTTATTTATTTTTAATTTTTTGGTTTTCGTCTTTTTCATATTTTTTTTCTATTTTTATTTTCGTTTATAATTCCAAATATTCTAAATAAGATATTACAAAAGCAATTTCAATGAAACATATGGGCATAGAGAAATTGTTTCTCATGTATACAACAATATACATTGTGTGTGAAAAAAGTTGATCATGTCTTTAAAAATGTTAATCCAAGCATTTGAAAAAATGTTAAACAAGTATTTGAAAAATGTTAACAAAAAATTTAGAGAAAATGTTGACTGTGTATTCAGAAAATAGTGAAGTTGTATTCAAAAAATGTTAATCGAGCATTTGAAAAAAATGATTAATGTGTATAGAAAATATTCCATAGATTAAAAACAATAATAATTTGAATAATGTTGATCAAGCATTTTTTTAACTTGTATAGAAAAAAAAGTTGATCATGTATTTAAAAAATGTTAATCAATCATTTGGAAAAAACTTAAATGTGTATAGAAAAAATGTTCAACTTGTACTTAAAAATGTTAATCTGGTATTTGAAAAGTCTTAATCAAGCATTTGAAAAATGTTAAATCTGTATAGAAAAAATATTGACCATTTATTCAAAAAAGTTAATCTTGTATTTAAAAAATGTTAGTCAAGTATTCAAAAAAAATGTTAAATGTGTATCGAAAAAATGTTGACCAAGTATTCAAAATATGCTAATATGGTATTTGAAAAATGTTAAATCAGTCTAAAAAATATTGACCATTTATCCAGTAAATGTTAATCTTGTATTTAAAAAATATTGAACGTATATTAGAAAAATCTATTAGATATATACCAAAAATTTGTACAAAAAGAATGAAAACCCGAGAGAAAACAAAAGATAACCAAGGAAAAAAAACCCGAAGAAAATTAAGAAGAAAGAAATAGTAGAAAAAAGCTAGTGAGAAACGAGAAAGAAACAAAGAAAACCGAAGAAAAACAAAAAATAAAGAAATAGAAGTAATAACCGAGTAAAACATAGAAACAAAACAAAGAAAATCTTGTGTAAATATAAGAACAAAGAAAAAGACGGAAACCAGTGGAAAACCGGCTCTTTTCCTTTAATTTGGTCGCGCGCTACTTACTTAACACGAACTCGCCGTTGTCTCATTGACTAGCGAGCTACTGTGCAACCTGGAGATCCTGGGATCGATCACCACTCTCTCTCTCTCTTTATCTCTACTCAACTTCTTTTAAGTATTCGCAAGTGGGTTGGCCCGTTACTTTAGACGCGTCACGTGAGAGCTCCTACCATCTCTCTCTTTTTTTTTTTTTTGAATTGGAACATCTTGCATTCCAAGTTTTACGCCGGACCGACCAAATCGGCAGTCACAGCAACGATTACATTGGGAGGGAGATCCCTAAGAGAATTACATTTACCTATGGCCGCCATTTCATGGGCAGGCTTGTTACAAGTACGGGGGCAATGGATGACACGCCACTCACTAAAACCCAACTGAAGCAGACACCTTGTCTCGCGGAAAAGAGCCCCCAAGGCGGACCGGTCGAGCACCGGGGTGTTGATGGCTTGGGCAAGTTCTAAACAGTCAGTCTCAAAATCCACACGGCACATACCATGATCTTTAGCAAGGTTAATGGCGTTCAGTAGGGCAGTAGCTTCAGCGTGTAGAGCATCACTCACATGCTCAATCTTACCAGCAGCAGCAAACAGAACATCACCCATATGGTCCCGCGCAACACAACCCCATCCCGAGCTCTGGTTAGACGCATCAAAGGCTTCATCAATATTAATTTTCACCTTGTCCACATTTGGTTTGACCCACTGGGAATGGGTGAGCATCTTTACGTTCCCAAGCTGGACACGCACAGAACTCACGCCATTCAGCAACCTGCTTCTGGAGTAGGAAATAGAACTCTTCAGGCTTAGCTCTATTCTGCTTATGATTGGCTTTATTTCTCTCCGTCCACCACAGCCATAAGAGGCAGATGATTTTTAATTTCTTTTCCTCTGGAAGGGCAAAAATGTACAGAAGGAGTTCGTGCGGGGACAAGCATTGCAGCAGGTCAAGCCGGATCGCCTCGAGATCGCACACACGCCACACCTTCTTTACTTCCTTACATCTAAAAAAGAGGTGGCTGCCGTCTTCTGGAAGCCTATGGCATATAACACACGTAGTGTCCAGCTCCACCCCAATCCGTTCAATATTCCTCAGCATAGGGTGACTATTGTGAGCAACCCTCCACATAAAATGATGCACTTTCCCTGGGGATTTAACCTTCCAAAGTTCCTGCCATAGCTTGCTATTCCCAGTGTCACCCAAAGAGCTCTCTCCCTGCTGCCGGCGGGCCTGCCGTTTCAACATATCAATCTGAACTCTATATGCAGACCTCACTGAAAATAGCTCCTTGGTATCAAATTGCCATGCCAGAAAGTCCTCGTGATGCTGAAAAACTGGAATCTTGAGAATAACAGCAGCCTCTTCCGTGTTGAAAGTTTGTCTGACCAGCTGTTCATCCCAGGAGTGTGTGTCAGGGTCTAATAACTCAGCAACTTTTGTCAGAATAGTGTTGCCTCTTGGGGATCTTGGAAACCGAACAGCACCGGTGGGGAGCCAGGGGTCCTGCCAAATCCGGATATTCTCGCCCGTACCCACTCTCCACACCATACCCTCCTTGATAACCTCCACACCTTGCAAAATACTTCGCCATACGTAGCTGATACCAGGGGCCGCAGAAGCTGCAAGGATGTTACCGTCCGGGTAATACTTTGCACGAAGAACACGAGCACAAAGTGAATCCGGTGCCTGGATCAGCCTCCAGACTTGGCGGGACAACATAGCGATGTTGAACGTGTGTAGGTCTCTGAAACCAAGCCCACCCTGCTCCTTTGGGAGAGTCAACCTGTCCCAACCAACCCAGTGATGTTTATGCTCGTCCTCCTGATTATCCCACCAAAATCGGCATATCATGTGGCTAATGCTCTCACATAGGGACTTAGTGAGGTCAAAACAGGCCATAGCATAGGCGGGGATTGCCTGGGCTACGGTTTTGATTAAAATTTCTTTTCCCTTTTTTGACAAAAGTTTGATTTTGTATCCCTGAAGCAGCTCCCAAATTCTGTCCCGGAGGTACTCAAAGCAGAGGCGACGCGACTTTCCCACATAACGTGGTAAACCTAGATACTTGCCCTGCTGTCCCTCATTCTGAAGTCCAAGTAAGTTCAGAAAGATTTGTTTCCTTTGCTGTGATGTATTCTTACTGAAGAGCACAGCTGACTTGTCACGGTTTATAATTTGGCCCGACCCCTGCTCATATACGGCAAGAATTTCATTGACTGTTGACACACTTTCCTCGGTGGCTTCCAACAACAGTAAAGAATCGTCCGCAAAAAGCAAATGCGCGAGATATAGCTCTCGCGGCCGCTGCGGTATGCAGACTGCCGCGGACTGCTTGCATTGACGCCACCTTGGGTCATAGGCTCATAGCTAGCTCCGCCTCTCGCGATCCAATCTTGCGAGACTTCCGCTCCTGTACGTGCACGCACACCCGCCGCAATAGACCACCGCTGATTCCGATCTGCTACAGCGACCGCATGCTCGATCGCATTGCTTATCCCGATCAAACTAGTCGCTGATTCAAGGAGGGCTTGCCGGGGAAATTTTGAAGGTCTTGGAGGAGGTCTATTGAAGTTGGAGAAGGAGATGAGAGCTGAGTGAAG